AGAGGGAATGAATGATTCTTTGAACTAAAAACAGTCTCAAATAGCAAATATAAGACAGTTTAAAACTGCAAAACAACAAAGACAAAGGTGAGATCTTTGAAAAGCAATAAGAGAACTTTAAAAAGAAAAAAAAAAAGCCTACCAAACAATCATCATTAGAATGTCAGAAGCCAGAAGAAACTGGAACTGCATCTTTAAAACACTAATGGAGGAGCTTCCCTGGAGGCTCAGTGATAAAGAATCTGCCCGCCAATTAAGGAAACAGGGGGTCTGATCCCTGATCTGGGAAGATCCCACATGTTGAGGAGCAACTAAGCCCAGAAGCCACAGCTACCGAGCCTACATGCCATGACTACTGAAGCCTGTGCGCCCCAAAGCCTGTGTCCCCCACGAAAGAAGCCTCCGCAGTGAGAAGCCTGAGCACATAACTAGAGAGTAGCCCCTGCTTGCCACAACTAGAGAAAAGCTCGCTCAGCGACAAAAGACCCATAGCCAAAAGTAAAGAATAAATACAGTTATATATTAAAAAAAAAACAACTAATGGACAGTAACTAACCCAGCGGAGGTCAAATAAAGATTTAGGTGAGACGGAAAGTTTGCTACTCACAGATCCTCAGTGAGAAGAATGATTCAAAGGTTTGTCTCAGGAAAAGCACTGAATCCAGAGAAGAATCCCATATAAAAACCAATGGCACTGACTGCGGAAACCCCATCCGTTCAAGAATGAAAACTGCTGCCGAGGGGAGGGCTGACAGTTTCTTCCCTCTTTAAGTGCCTACAAGATTTCACTGAATTGTATGATCTGTATACTCATTAACTTGACAGAACAAATGTAGTAAGTACTTGTTTCTCCCCGAATTCAACAGAAATGTTATAAATTTATTAGCTAAATATGTTACTCATTTCATTCATTCAAAATGTGTGTGTGTGTGTGTGTGTGTATGGAAGTGGGGAGGGGAGGTTGGACAAGAGCCAAGGGAACACAAGCGCCTACTATGTGCTGTGCACATAGTTTAGGTGCTGAAGATAATCAGTGAATAAAACAGAGCAAAGTTGTTCCCTTTGTGGAGTTTATATTCCAACAGGAGAGGTAGACAGTCAACTCCACACACACACAGAGGAAGGTTGGTAGGTAACAAAGAGAAGAACGCAAGGCAGGGGATGCAGAGAGTCCGAGTCGGACTTTGAGACAGGACTTGGTATCAATAATGTCATGGCAGAAAGAGCCCACACAGTCAAAGTGTAACTAAGGGAATTTTAAAAGGAGGTGACTCACAAGGATGAGGAGGGTGAGTGGACAGAGAGGCAGGCAGGACCCCCCTGGGACAGAGGGCAAAGGGAGGGGACAGTGGGAACTGCAGTCACGGGCTAGGGCCCTGGGCCCACAGAGGGGGAGTCCAGCCACAAGTAGACCACAGCCGTGCTGGAGGGAGCGGGCTGACCCCAACCGACCCCGCCTCCCACCATTCCCCCATCTCCTGACAAGATCTCTGTCAGCTGGAGCCAATCAGAGGGCCAAGGGCAAAGAAGCTTAAGAATGCTTCTAAAGTTGATAGTGATCAAGGGCCCAGGGCATCAAGCAGGGTTCTGCTGGAGCAAGGGGGAGAGGGTCAGGGAAAGCCCTGGAGAAAAGCCTTCCAGGCAGGAGGACCAGCACACCCAGGCAGCTCTGAGGGAGAGCAAGGCCAGTGAGGCTGCAGAGAGGCAGGCGGGAGATGAGGACAGAGAGGTGAGACGGGTCAGGAAGACTCTGTAGATCATTAGAGGGACTTCATCTTTGACTCTAAGTGAGAAGACTTGGAAGCAAAGGATGTTTTGAGCTAAGAGTATCAACCCGCTAGTGCTTTAGAAGGATCCCTGGGGCAGGAACTGTAGGGAAATGGGTGGGATTTGAATCAGGAGGCTGTTTTTAATAGCACACAAAGGAGATGAGGGTGGCTTGGACTGGTATGGCAACAGTGAGGGGGTGATAAGAATCTTAACTCAAAGTCCAGGAGTTTGACTAAAGTTGTAAGTGGGTTGAATAAAAGTGCTTTTCAAGATTTTTTTCTTTTCTGTAACTAAAAACATGATAATGTTTTCAATCAGGGATTTACTATACACATTAAGCAATAAAGTACATGTATCAAACTTGGCATGTAAAGTAAAATATCTTTTTAGCAAAGTTACTTATAAGTATATATCAATAGGTTCAAAAACATTAATATATTTTTACCCATTAATCTCATTGCCAAGAATCCTATGGTAATAAAGTCATGTGATCAAATATAAGTGTACCATACAACATTATTTACAATGGTCAAAACCTGGCTATTACACCTAAGGGTAAATTTAGAATTGTCAGGTAGAACAGATTGACTACATGGCCTTCAGGAAGTCTTCCAAAAGTTTTATAAGTTTGAGTGATTTTATTCATTTTTGCAACCAGGTTTTTGGTAAAGATAAAACTGTAGCGATTTCAATACTGCATTCATTACACCTTGAATGATGTGTTGTCCGTGTCAAATACATAACTTTAGCATTAATCCAGGTAGAAATCAGGTTTAAGGTCCTCTCATGAAAACGACAGTGACGCAGATAGTAAAGAATCTGCCTGCAATGTGGGAGACCTAGGTTTAATCTCTGGGTCAGGAAGATGCCCCGGAGAAGGAAATAGCTACCCACTCCAGTATTCTTGCCTGGAGCCCATAGACAGAGGAGCCTAATAGGCTAGAGTCCATGGGGGTCAAAAAGAGTCAGACACAACTGAATGACTAATACACACATGAAAACAAAAGTATTACTTTAACAGAGGACCAAAAGACACAGTGTTTGGTCAAACGTGTTCACAGGGATCATGGGGAGAAGAACTGTAAACAAACCTAAAAAATCAGTTTGTGATCAGGTTAAGAACGTCCTTAAATGCCAAGATAAAAAGTTTGTATTTTATTCTGCAGTTTCAAGGACACTTAAAAGATTTTCTCAGGCAAAAAAAAAAAAAAAAAACCACCACATTTATAATTATTTTTAAACTGTAACTTTCTAAAATTAATCTGGCACCAATCATGCAGTATTTCACAGCATTTGAGTTGGAAGAGTTCCTGAAAGCCTTCTGACTCAATCCCCTTTAAGCATGGAATGCAGAGGGGGTTCCCAGAAAGCAGGGAGAGTAAAGGGCAGGTGCTGCAGTGATCCGGATGCAGGTGGCACAGAGCGGAATGGGTACCATAGAAGATGCAGTAAGAAAGAGGGCGTGGAGTCTTCAAGTTCACATTCATACAATTTTGTACCAAAACATAAACCAACTAACAATCCCAACCACAAGATCTGGATTCTGTCCACAAACATTTTAGTTTTTCCTCTTGAGATGTCACTGGAAACCTACGTAGGCAGTTTGGAGTAGGATGTGTATCTATCAGCTTCCTTTAATAAAACTCATGTGCCAGGTTATTCTGTACAATCCCTTGGCATTGAGAAGACTCAGTTACCTTCAAAACTAACTCCATTCATAAAATTATCTCAACTCTATTTCCTGAGTGTGTGTTGTTCTATTTATCTATACCAGTCTTTCAGAAAATAATGTCTATAATCGTTCACGTGTAAACCCACTGACTTTTACTGCAGATACATGAAACAGTGCTGTCAGATCACAAACATTTTTCAAAGTTTCCCAGATGTCACCGTGCAAAGTGAACTCACTCTTGGTACTGAATACCATGTATGTCTCTAAGAGCACAACTGATGCATGCCATCATTATGACTGACAAGTCATACAGATGATCTGAACCAAGACATCTGACTCAAGGTTCAAAAGAAAAAAAAAAAATTGGTTGTAATTCTGATATAATTTCTTACTTTGGCTCAGAAGAAAAAAAAATAATCTTTACATTTCACTTCACTCTGTACAGTTTCCGTATCTTTTTAAATGTTGTTAGTATCTCAGCTGAGTTTTGATGATTCTTGGTGAGGATGGTATTTTAAAAGCCCATTGATAGTCACAGTTGCCTAAGTCTGTAACCAAACTAAAAGTCACTGATATACTCCACAAAGATGAATTCTAGGCTTATGTGAATTAAATATAACGAGGCTGTTATTATTTGAAAGCCCACTGAACATAAACAGTACTAAGTAATAAAATATTCCAGCTAGCAGTTAATAATCAAAACGACTGCTATCCTTCCCAAGCTGTCATCACTCATATAAATAATTGTCTGCTGAACTGAAGTAAAGTGATGCCTGAGGTGCATCTGGAAAGATACAGAACTTTTATGCTCAGTTTACTCTGATATCAACATTTCTTCACCTTCCCTGGGCACATACAAACTCGATCATGATTAAAATTGATACAGTCATAATCTCAGACAACTAAGTTGATTAAATTTTAGTGAAGTTATTTACAAATGTATCATAGCTGAAGTCTAAACAAACTGTTAAGAGTCTCAAGTCTAAGGCACACTATAACTATTTAATTTACAAAATAATCAACTTTTTCTCAAAACCTAATTTGCATATTAGATTTTATATTGGGATTTTTTTATTTTGCACTGGGTTGTATTTTGATTTCTGGAGTATTTATAATTAACTCTTGGTAATTCATAACTAAAGAAAAGTAAAGGCGTAAAAATTTACTTTTGAAAAGGAGATTAATCATTAGACAAATTCATGTATACGTTCACAGAATGGTAAAGACCAAGACCTGGGAACTGCTGACCCCTTCATTTTACAGACAGAGAAACTAAACCTCTGAGAAATTAACTGTCCCGCTTAAAAGTAACAACTAATAAGTGGCAGAACAAGGATTCAAATGTAAGACAATTTGACTCCAAAACCCAAGTCTTCTGGGATTCATAAACAGAGCTCTCACTGCATAGCCAAAATGAATTACAGCCCCAGAAGGTTAACTTTGTTTTTCAAATACAATTCTGAATTCAAAACCAAAAATTATCTGTAATGTATAACCAACAAGGGTGAACATCTATGATGATGGGTGTCTTAAAGAGTGGGGTTTTATTTTTTTTTACCTTGAGCCATGTCACACTCCCTGATCATCTTGAGAAAGTTGGATATTTCTCTATCTAGTCTCTGTTGGCATATCTGTGCTTTCTGGAAAAGAAAACAAAAGAAAAGTTAAATACAGAATTTTTACAGTACATGCTTTAATGTTGCCATTGCAACTTTTTATCTCATAGGCTGATATACTGTAATAACTGAGACAGGTTCCTAACAAAGAGAAAAGGGTGAGAGAAAACCGCCTTAGAAACAGAATATAACCATGTACAGATTAATAAAAAAAAATTCTAAATTTTAAATACATTCAACAAGTAGATATTACACTTTATCAATTACTTGTAATAACTCATTACACAATATATATCTGACAGATTTCTGATTTATTCACACTTAGTGGGCTTGATTAAATTCATCGAGAAATTATAAAATGCACTCATTAAGAATATTTTTTAGAAATTGTTTTTGTTTGAAAAAATCCAGATGGTACTAACATTTGGAAACCACAACCGGATTTTCGTTCAGCAAATCTAAGTGAGCACAGCCCCCACATAATCAGACCAGAAGGACATTTTTTCAGTCAGTGAAAGCTTATGAAAATAAAGTAAAGCAGTCTTCCGTGTAATCTGAAATTTCTACATATTTAGATCCGTAAAAGCAAAACATACAGAGTTTCATGATGTAAACTGCATCCCATTTTAGTATAGACTTGTAAGTCCAAAAACGAAAAATCAGGTAAATCTAACAATGTAATTCTGAAATAAGTTTTTTTTAGTTTCCCTTTAAAGGAAACTAAGAAGCAAGAATAAGAAGCAAGAAAATCATCATTGTAAAGTTGGTTGGTTATGCAATAAGAAAATATTCTGAGAACCTTGACCTTATCAAGATTATCACACTGTTGTAGGTTGAGTAATACATTAAGCCTATGAGTTCATCTCTGGTCGCTCAGTGGTAAAGAATTCGTCTGCCAAGCAGGAGACCAGGGTTTGATCCCTAGATCGAGAAGATCCCCTGGAGGAGGAAATGGCAATCCATTGCAGTATTCTTACCTGGAGAATCCCATGGACAGATGAGCCTGGCGGGCTATAGTCCAAGGCGCAGCAAAGAGTTGGACATGACTGAGCGTGCACACAGGAATCTTCTCTACTTTGTATTCCTAACATCAACTGGCACATCACCCAACATTTTTACTCCCCCTAAATCAGACCTATGTGCCAAGGTGATAGAGGTACGCATGTTTCCCACCTGTAAATCTTTCAGTGATTCAACTCAGCTCAACCACAGCAGAATTAATCACGGTACCACATTAGTGACAGGCAATGTTCTCTCTAAAATGTACATTACTCCATTTTGAGAGCTCCAACAACATAAAAATGTGGTTCATTTTTTTGGGGGGGAGGGGGATAGGAAGAATACCTACATTGTGCCAGTACCTTTCTGTGCCACCACAAAAACAGAAACGATATGCTGGGTAATTCTTTCAGACACAGTCTTTAAATACACATTTAAGGCAAGAAAAAAGTCGATCAGGGGCCACTGAAAACATGCACTGCACAACCAAATGTATCACTCATAATTTATTAATAGAAAATTGTCATTTCACTCTATACATATTTAATACCCCTGCCCATGTGCACATCAATACTACTGTTTTCTGTCTCTTTTTTTCTATGGGGAAAAGTTCACTGGGTGCACAAAAGCAAACACTAGCTTCATTTGCAGACTGTGAGTCTATAATCGTAGTTCCTGTGGTTACAATTAAAGACAAGAAATACTCTCCTGCATCAACCTCAAATGCCGGAATTACATTCATCATCCTTCAGCATCTCTAACAGCAAAGAAATTTACCCTGATCCACAATTTACTTAAGAGTTACTCGGTAGGTCAGCTGGAGAAGAGTCCATCTACACATGCTATTTCACAGTTGTATACAAACAGGTATCTGCTATTCTAAACAATTAATGTCGTTTAATTGATGCTAAGAAGAAGCAGCAGCATCATATACACAATTTTTAAAAATCCACATTCTCCAATTTGTCATCAGTTCCTCTTAGTGCCTACTGGTTATCGTACAAAAACCTAAAAATCTAATAGTGTGTGCATGCTCAGTCTCTCAGCCATGCCCGACTCTGCCACCCCATAGACTATAGCCCGCGTCTGTCCATGGAATTCTCCAGGCAGGAATACTGGAGTGGGTTGCTATTTCCTTCTCAAGGGGGTCTTCCTGATCCAGGGATCGAGCCCGGGTTTCCTGCATTGCAGGCAGATTCTTTACCGTCGGAGCCACCAGGATTTAGGAAGGTTAATGTTCATACATTCTCCACAGAGCCCAGCATGGTATCTCACTGACTTCTATGCTACACTTCTTATATCAGGGACTCTTCTTAGGTTTCCATTTTTATTGACCCTACATAAATGAGCTCTCATGCGAGCAGTGTTCTTATAGCTGAAGTGTGACAGTATTTCCTACCCAGGATACCTGGGCACAGAACCCAAGAACAGGAGCACACCCACAGACCTCAGCCACAGAGGGTGGCAGATGCCTGGGTAGCAGCTGGGCCCCACTCAGGACACAGGTCTCCTGCTGCTACTTCTTCCCATCCAGAGTTCTGCTGTTGGTTTTAAGTTGATGTTAAACTACTTTGTCAATCCTGATATACGAGACAGTTCAAAAATGTGTATCAATGGAGTAGGCATCTACAGAGGAGCGGTTAGGGTAGGAGCCAGGTCATTAATTCCAGCCTATTTGCCACATACAGACAATCCCATAGTTGGTTAATTGAGAGCCAAAGCATTAGTAGATATAAATTATTACATATAAAATAAACAATAAGGTCCTACTGTACAGCACAGGCAACTATATTCAACATCCTGTAATAAACCATAATGGAAAACAGTAAGAAAAGGTATGTATGTAAATGTATAACTGAATTACTTTGATGTACACCAGAAACTAACATAACACTATAAATCAATTACACTTCAATTTTTAAAAAAAGGACCAAAGCAGACTGCCTTCTACTCATCAATAAAAAGAAACTACTGATACACACAACATCATGGGTGAAAGATGACAGGCACCAAAGAGACATATGGTGTGATTCCATGTAGCTGGAATCCTAGAATGGGCAAAGCTGACAAAGACTGTGATGACAGAGCAGCTCAGTGGCTGTCTCAGATGGAGTAGAGAACACTTCTGGAAGGGGAATGGAGATCTTTTTGAAATGATAAAAACATTCCACCCCTGGATAGAAGTGGTGGCTGCACAGGGTATCTGTCTAAACACATCAAACTGAAGATGCTACAATGCCCTCATTTTAACAGAAAAACTGTACCTTAATAACATTTAAATTTTAAAATTAATGGATTGTAGAACCCAGACAACCTTCCTCTGCAGACAACAGTCAGCATCCTGAGCCCTGAAGCCCCGTACTGATATCCAAACTTTCCAAACTCCAGTCAAATCCACTTCAAGGATAACCCCATACTCCATCTTCCCTCAGTCTAAGCCAGTCCACGGCACACCGATTCTTTCTGGTACCTGGTGATCTCTAATATTCTTAATGTTGTATTCTATATTAGTTATTCACACAAAGTGTGTGTATATATACAGAGAGAATGAGAAAGACAGTTCTCCCTCACTTACTAATCAGTCCTACAGTCCACGTTTTCTCCCTTTCCCAGTCTCAAAGCAACAACTGCTAATACTTTCGCATCTTTCCTAGGATGGTATCACCTACTCAACTGTACAGCCCTGATTTCTTTCTCCCATGTAGAAGCATATTGTTGTTGTGTAGTCGATAAGTCATGTCCAACTCTTTGCAACCCTGTTGGGGTCCTTTAATGGACTGGAACATGGTGGTCCAGAGTCGACGATGAGAAAGTGAAAGAAGGAAAGAGGCTAATAATCCCTGGGTTACGCAGTCGGCCTTTGCGCTTCCGGGAATCAGCCAGGCTCCTCTGTCCATGGGATTTCCCAGGTAGGAATACTAGAGTGGGTTGCCATTTCCTTCTCCAGGGGATCTTCCCGATGCAGGGATTGAACCCACTTCTGCTGCTTGGCAGGTGGGTTCTTTACCACTGAGCCAAGGGAAGCCCAGAAGCATATTACATATTAGATTTTTACACTACGCCCTATTCACTTAGCTGTAAATCTTAAACATATCTATATATATATATATGTATATACCTTCCATGATTTCTTGTATGGATACCACTCATCAGCTTTGAGTTGTTGTACACTCATCTTCCGGCACATTCACTTTAATTAGGAATCATTTATTCTTCAGTCAAGAAAGTCTGACATCACTTTCTCATATGTTTAGAATTTTGCATCATCTGTTCATTACTTCTTATAACAGGTATAGTTCAGAGCTTTTAAGAATCAAGATATTCTCAATGAATAAAACCCCCACTTTCCTAGTGCCACCTCAAATATAAGAGCCCATCCCAGTTTGATCCAAAAGAACCTTCTATGATGACTGAAACATTCTATATCTGCATTCTCCAAGCTGAAAGCCACATGTGACTATTGAGTACCTGCTCAGGTCAGTCACTCAGTTGTGTCCGACACTGCAACCCCATCGAGTGCAACACGCCAGGCTTCGCTGTCCATCACCAACTCCTGGAGCTTGCTCAAGCTCATGTCCATCGAGTCGGTGATGCCATCCAACTATCTCATCCTCTGTCGGCCCCTTCTCCTCCCACCTTCAATCTTTCCCAGCATCAGGGTCTTTTCAAATGAGTCAACTCTTCTCATCAGGTGGCCAAAGTATTGGAGTTTCAGCTTCAGCATCAGTCCTTCCAATGAACACCCAGGACTGATCTCCTTTAGGATGGACTNCCGATGGATGTTGGCAATTTGATCTCTGGATCCTCTGTCTTTCCGGAATCCAGCTTGAACATCTGAAGTTCATGGTTCGTATACTGTTGAAGCCTGGCCTGCAGAGTTTTGGGCATTACTCTGCTAGTGTGTGAGATGAGTGCAGCTGTGCGGCGGCTTGAGCATTCTTTGGCATCACCTTTCTTTGGGCTTCCCTGGTGGCTCAGATGGTAAAGCATCTGCCTGCAGTGTGGGAGCCCAGGGTTCAATTCCT